CCACCAGGATGGGGACCCGTTGTTGCTCCTTTCTGCAGCAGAAAGGTGGTGATGTGACAAGCAGGGCTTCAGATTGAGAAAGTGTGACCAGAGCTACACTTAAACGAGTTTAAAACAGAAGGAAAAAAAATTTCTCTTGCTCTTGGGACAGACAAGGACCCATGAAGGAGCCTCAAGAAGTCAAGGAGGGTGGAGGGGATGTGCAAGAGATTGCAAATGCACAGGCTGTGTGTGGGGGTGAAAGTGAGGGCATGCCAATGCAGGAATGGCATGGGGGCCTCCCCAAAGTGACAGATGTCTAGGACATAGCTGTGACATGGAGGGTCCTAAGGAGAAGGGTGAAGAAATGTCTGAGCAAGGATGCTGGGAGCTGGAGGAGTGTGGGGCAGAGAGAGGCTGGGAAAAGAAGAAGGATGGAGATAAGAGAGCAGGTGGAGAAGTGAATCACAGCCAGAGGCTTCTCCACATGATCCTGCGTGTCTGGTGACAAAGCTTCTTTTCTGAAAGCTGCAAAGGAAGATAAAACATAAAAGGGACCTCAGCTTTAAAGTATTAGGGGAAGGGGGCGTCAGGAGAAGAGGTTTAATAGGTGGGAGTGCATTGACTTACTTTCTCTGTTTAGGAGTTGACTATGTAGTAGTGAACATATTACTGAGATAAAAAGGAAGGTGAAGGACTGGGATTAAATAAATGCAGCCTAGAGGATGAGTGCTATAGACCAGGGAAAAAATCCAAGCAGGATAAATAAGCAAGTGAACTGGAGGAGACAGCCTGACTCATCTCTTGTTTAGGATGTGGCATGAGATGGAAATTGGGTCCTGAAGTATATATATATAAGACCTTCCAAAGACAGTTTTGAGAAGAACATGAGCCAAGCTCTGCTGTATTAGGGTAGCTATGCAGGGGGGCTGCTGTCGGTGTGTTTAGGCAAATGTAATGTGATGGGAGTGACTGTGCCTTAAAAGGTAATGCTAACAGCACCTTTTAAATTATTGAATCAATGTAAAAGAGTGAGTTTACCATTCAATAACCAGATTTTCCAGATTAAATCTAATAATATTTCATTGTGAAAAGTCCATAATCACATTAGATAAAATTGTTCAGCAAAGCCAAAATAGATTCTCCCCTTTATATATTAAAGAGACACAATCTCATTTTAAACTGCATATTTAAAAACTCAAAGAACTCCTTAATTTGGTGCTAATATACTATGAAAATTAGATGTTTTAAAATGAACTCTTCCTTAAAAAAAGATTGTTTCATTTTGCTTTTCTTTGGAATGGACAATGTCTCTCTAGACTTCAGTCCTCACTCTGTGCATGGTCAGATTTCTAGAGTGGTTTCTAGTGTAAACAATTTCCAGCTTGCCCTGTAACAAATGTGAAGTTTCCTCAGTTCTGAAATACACCTTCCCAGCAAAGCTCAAGGGAGCACTGCAGAAGGGATACTTGGGATGCACTGGGCAAGGGAGGAGAGCGGTAATTTGGGAGCCTGTGGAAGGAGGAGATTTCAGGCTGAGTTTTCTGAACTAGCTAGCAAGGGAGGGGGAACTTAATGCAATAATATGTAGCCATGTTGCAAGGCACATCAGCTAATGATGTCTAAAGTGTTGCCATTCAACAAAGCCGGAACCCTTACATGTTATCTTTACTTACAGAGGGAGTGGAACTGTAAGATGACAGGACTCCCTGGAGATAAGTAAGCGTGTTTTATAATGTGAGAGGGGACAAGAAGCCCTGAAATGAAGCAGTGGGGGAGAGGGGTGTGGATAGTTGTAAAGAACACTTGGAATTACCATTTCCCACACGGATGGCACTGAGAATCACTGGACAGCCACGTGGCACAGCCGACAGGGAGCTGTTTCCCATGTGTGATTTTAACCGATTCTCTGTGATTCCAACCACAAGTGATGTTTTCCAGACCAGTGACAGAAAGCCACCCCTTCTGTGCACAGCTTGGCATGTCCAGCTACCTGTAGAGCCAAGGCCATTGAAAGAGAGCAACGTTCTCACCCGACACCTTGTAACACCAGTACTCTTGTCTTTGGCATTCTTTAACTTACCTGTAAAAGCTGTATAAAATGCTTTTGAAAATTGGTCTGGTGGAATGGGAGGCTTTTAAAATGTTAACGAGGTTTCTGTATGGGAGTAGTGTAGAGGCAGTGAGATGTGGATAACACAGCAAAGCAACTGACCTAGACTGCTAGGAAAGGCTGTCATCAAACCGTTGACATAATGAAACAGTAGTAGTTGTGCACTGCTGTCCATACACTTTATTACAGACCTTCAGTACCATGACACAGTAACCAAACTCTTCACAGTTTACAAAAAAAAAAAAAAAAAAGGGTCAGGAAAATTTACAAAAGCTACATTTCAAAATCTGAAACATTTTTACAAAGGAGGGAGGACAAATCTGATGCTGAAAACAGAAGCTAACAGCTTCATCTATTGCTACAATACTGCTTTGAGAATGGCCACTTCCAGACTCCAATGTTGCACAAGGCAAATGTATTTCTAGAATAATGAACAGAGAAGTTCAGTGGCACCTGCTACTTTGAAGAAAATGTGCTGCAGGTCTTCAAGTAAAACAAAAAGTCCTGTAATAGACCTGGGGTCTCCAGCGTGGTAAAAGTCAACTGGCTGTTGGACAAAGGGCTGTAGGCATCGTATTTTGTGGCAAGAACAGCCTCCTGGTTTCAAGGACACATTACATACATCCAATTAAATTATAAGACATTACTAGTGGGAGAGGAGGAAAAGCACTTTGCTTATGTAGGAGTCACTGGAGGAAGGCAGGGACTTCTCTGAGTTCAAAATTGTCCCTTTTATAAAGGACTGGTCCTTCCACATTCCCAAGCCAGCAAATAACCTGATTCCTCCAAGGTGTAGCTCAAAAAATCTCTGCACTGTTTACTCCAAAGACAGCTTCTGACTGCAGCCTTTGACTTTGACCTCAGCTGTGCATAGTTACTTGCTGCTTCTGGTGAAGGAGCCCAAACTTGGAGTGCACGGGTTCATGACTGCAAATGGTTCCTGTCAGGCTGCTGCAACACCATGTCTACTTGGTGCAGTTCTACAACAAAGTTGGGCAGGTGAAGTTACCAGTGATCAAACTAGACAGTTTGAAGTGGGGAAGGAGAGAAAAAGGGCTTTCATTTCAGTACAGAGAGGATCAAAGGCTTTCAGTTCATGAGCAACACTGACAAAACAAAATTAAGGCTGTTGCAAGCAATTTTTTTCCCTGCCTTGAAAATAACCAAATTTAGTAAATTTATGCTTGTTGAATGCATTTTCTTTTTTTTAAGCAATCAGCCAGCAACTGATTGCTGCTGCAAATTCACTTGCAATACTATGTAAAAGGCAGCTGCTTTTATGGGGTTATTAAAAACCCTTCAGTCCTCTAAGCCAACTGAGAGCTTTCCTGCACAGATTTTGCTGTGGGTCAGAAAATGTATTCTCAAGACTTTGCTCTAAGGGCTGGTAGTGTCCTTCCTGGGTGTAAAATAAGGTGGGAGGGTTATTCCATCTGTTTCATTAAAGAACAGGATAAGCAGGGAGTGAGGGATACGAGGGCTTAGGTCTGTGCTAATGTGGTGTGGAGGAAACTTTGGCTTCATTTACTCACCTTATCCAATGCTGAGCCTGTAACAGGTGGGCCAAAGCAGAAGGGGAGTAAAGAGTTGAAGCCGTGCTGGAGGTTCCCATTTATTCCTGCCCAGCTTCTCCTACCATAGCTGCTCCCTGGGAGTTCAGAGGAGCTCTGGCAAAATGCAATCTACTAAAACAAAACTCTTTGTCAGAATACTTCTTTGTGCAAAAGTCAATTTGCTTCAATAATTCCATAATACTCTGGAATCAGAAAATGCTGTTTATGTAGTAAGTCCTCCTGCATCATCTAAGCTATTTCTCCTGTGACTAGCCATGTCTCACAGTGAGGAGCTATCTCTTCTTAGTTCTGGATATAGCACCAGAAGTTAAAACAGAGGTAAGGTTGCTTCACAGTGGGGCAGCACTTCTGTTGGAACAGAGGAACAGGGCACTTGTGAGTCTTCTTTCCCTCCCCATTCACACCTTGTTTTGTCAACAAGCTCTGCAAGCTCAACCTAGCTGCAGCATGGAGGTACTGCTCAAAAAAGGACTTGACCTTTTTTAGGCTCAGGTGACCCAGAGAAGTAGTGGGTGCTGCCTGCTGTGCTGAATCATGTCCCCTTGCTCCTGAATTTATTTAAAACATTTGAAGTCATGAAATGACACTTCTGCCCTATCCTTCTTCCAAAACACTGCCAGGTTGAACTTCCTGGACATGCTAAGCTGGTCCTCAAAGGAGGCAGACCCTTTCCAGAATTCAGCTTCCTGAAACAGGTACTATACAGATAAAGATGCAGAACAGTGTAACTTTTTGAGGGGTAAAGGGGAAATAACTTTGCTACCTGTACAGTCATTAAAACAGCAATACATACATAGATATATGTGTGTGTGTATATATATATTTTTTATTTTTTTAAATTTTTTTTTTTAAATGCTAAAACTCCTGGTAAAAAACCCCAAAACCTTTTATAGGATTATGGAGGTTTCATCCTATGGCACAAAGATCTGCTTCTGTGCAGTGTGTTTTTCAGCTTTCTTTTTTCATTGCAATGATGGCCAAATGGGAAAGAGAAAGAAAGAGTTACAGACAGTGCTGTAGCAGAATCTACAATAGTTCTATTGCTATGAACCGTGAATGCTATGACCAAAGACAGGGCAAACACAAGGGAACTAAGGGGATTTTCTCCACTTCCTCCTTTCTTCCACCTCTAAAACTGGATGGGAAGAGGCAGTATCTTACAAAAAACAGTGTCTGGCACTATTGCTAGCATATAAAATGGAGTAGATGATTGGACAGATCACCACAAAGAAATTCCTAAGCCAAATTCTAAAAAATGCACAAACCCTTTAAAAAAATAATCACTGTACAATCACAATGCAAAAGGAACGTAAAAGGACTTTTTCTTAATTCCACACATTCTGGCTGCCCTTTCCTCCCACGCCTCCTAAGTCAATTTTTGCCAGCTCTGGGAAGTCCAGTTCTACATCCTCAGCTGCGCAGAGTAAGTGAATGGTGAGCTGATGCTGTTAATTTATGAGATCCTGGAGCTCCTCATCAGTTAGCTCATTGACTTCCATGATTTTTTCCAAGTGCTCCATATAACGAGCATGGTCTTGCAAAAAGTGTGGCACCCTCATATTCTCAGTCACAGCTAATCCCTTCAGGCGGTCCACATCCTCGTATGAGATCTGTAAGGAAGGATTATGGGTTAATTTCACATTATAGTCCAGTTACTTCTCTGCTTGCTGCTCTAAACTTGCTCTTGAAGATGATAAAAGATTTCAGAGCAGGGGAATTCCAAAGCTTGTGAGAATCCTTTGAAAATATAAGATGCTGTGTGCCGCAGTGGAAGATGCAAAAAAAAAATGTATGTAATTTTAGCAAATGCCTCCTAAATTCCTGAGTCTGCTTTTGATTCAGTGAGCAGACTCATGGGAACCTGAATAAGAATGACCTACAGTAGCTGCAGGAATAGAGAGGGAAAGAATGGAGCATGTGTGAATCTTGGGAGTCTCTTCTCAAGGAGGTGGAAAGATTCACAGGTACATGGAAAAAACACAGTGTTGAAGATCAAGGAAACGGAAAGGGAGGGCAGGGCAGGCATGGTTGTCACAGGAAGCAGGAGGGCTGGAGGGCTCCAACTTTGAGAAAGGCTTATTGCCAACTGACATGAACTCTTATGCTTTCATTTTCACCAGCAGATGTGCTTATGCAAGGCTAAATTAAAATGCACATTTAGCAACTAATTACAGCATGGACAACCCTTCAGCATTCCAATTTCTTAAACCTTTTTTGCATTCAGTAGCAGGACAAAGACTGGATTTGCTTCTTGGCATCAGAGCCTTCTGGGTACAGGTGTGACACTCAAATTTCTCCATCTACTACAGGGCCTCCTACTTTCTTAAGGAAAGCTGAGATTTTGCTGGATAATCTTTCAATTCTACAAGCTAGGATTTCAAGTATTGCACTCACAGTAGCTCAAGGTGCTGTGAATGATGGTGCAGAAAGTACAAATTCTTTGGCTTTGCAACAGCCAAAAGCTGCCCTGTGAGCACAGAACAGGACTCCTTGGGCAGCTGGCCAACGTGATTGAAATTTATGTGGTTGCCACTTTGCCTACAAGCTGTGTGTTGTTCTGGGCACCCTACAGACAGAAGCATACGTACTGGCAAAACCTACAAGCCTGGCTGTGCTTACTAACTGGCACATCCTACTTCCTCACAGCAGGTTTGTGCCAGGTGGCTTGAGTGAAGTCTGCTCCATCTAACCTTTTAACTTCATGTTTTTTCTAAAAGCTGAGGACTGAGTGGTCAGGGCTCACTGGAAACTGCCTGCCCTCTTAGCAGGTGATGGTTTCTATTTGGAAATGATTAAAGTGAGCCTGAACAATCCACCAATGAGTAAGTGGTATAGAAGAGCTCTCTGGAAAGACAGGACAGTGTAATTCAGATTGCTAAACCATGCAGGTGGTCAGACAGGGGGTGCATATCTTACTGATGATCATGGGAACAAAGCCCACAAAGAGAATGAATTTGCATCTGAGTACACATGTATTTTTCTAAGTGCAATGGTAAGGTGCAACCTGATTTAAAAAACAAACATATACCCATGCCCAGGCTTACTCAAGATCCTTACGAAGGATCCAGGCTTACGAAGATCCTGCTGTTGGAAGATGGTGTGGCATTACACTGGCAATCTTCAAAAAACAGTGAAAATCCTCCCACTAAATACTGGACTTTCTTGTTTTTAAATCCTATGCTTTTTTTTCCAACCTGGAAGACAGGCCAGTTGAGCTTAAGTATTCCTTTTGGGACAACTTGATCCTCCTATTCCATTCTAAGCAAACAAATAAATCACCTTTTAGATGGTGATAAAGTCATAATAACCACAGGCTAGATCTCAGTGGAAGTTTCATATTTCTCTGTGCTCACATAGCTTGTTTTTCCTGAGAGTATATGGATATATTGGAGCAGGCCCAGTGAACAGTCACTAAGATGATTAATACACTGGAGCATCTGGCATATGAGAAAAGGCTGCTCAGCTTGGAGAAGAGAAGGCTCAGGGGGATCTTACACTTTTTACAGTGAGGGTGGTAAAACACTGGCACAGGCTTCCCAGAGAGGTTCTGGCATCTCCATGAGTGGAGATACTCAAAGCCCAACTAGACATGGTCCCGGGCAACCTGCCCTAGCTGATCCTTCTTAAGCATGGGAGTTGGAGTAGATGACCATGAGAGGTGCCTGCATACCTCAACCAATCTGTGATGCTGAGAGCAGGCACTGCTCTTATACACAAATTTCTGGTTTGACTGTAAAAGTGTGCTGCAAAAATATTCAGAGTAGACTTCAGGTTCTCTTGATTTTAGCAGTTGTAAAATCAAGCTCTTATAAATTATTATACTGCTAGAATTATATTGCTTGTAGACCCTTAATGTGGGTATCTTGCCATATGGATTATAATGGTACTTGTAATCATATAAGGAATGACTTACTATGTTTTTGAAGTGGCTTGACAGACCTGCAGACTCCCTGAGGAGAAAAAGGGATGAAGCAGTGCAGCAACACTATGTGATCAGTAATTTGGCAGGCAGAAGCTCTGTGGAGTTAAGCAGGCTTAAAGCAAAAAGAAGTTTCAGAGAATATGGTTGCAGAGATGTATTTGACAGCACAATTTTATTTTCAGAGTTTCCTTCAGAGCTGGTTCAGTTACCTAAATAGCTCTGCTCACCAATACAGATGTTTCTGGCACTAAAGGTGAAACTTTTAAAATGTGGAACAAGCCCCTCTATCATAATATGCCACTTCCCTTCATCAGTCACTGATTGTCAAGTAAGCAAAAATGTTGGTATGCCAGCTCTAACTACATGCATAATATCATCAGTTTGTATCCTGGTTTATATGACTATAAACCCTGCTTTATCAAATGTGGAAACTTAGCAATCCAAAGATTTGATTCAGGAAGTGTGACAAAGTTTCTGCACTTCTTAGTATGATTTTGAGAACACATAAGCAATGACAGAATGGACATAAAAGATGTTCTGTGAATGTAGAAATACTGTTTATTCTGGGGAAAAAAACCCACAATTAATTTTTAAAAAAATCAGAGACAACATCAGTGAGAGGAATTTGAGATGAAAAACTCCTTGTGGTGGAAGGGGATGTGTCAGCATCAAATGGTTAATTTTGTCTTCTACTGGGACCACCACCTTATCTAGCACCCATCCCAGTTGCCCAAGGCAGCCCATTGTAGGGCAACCCTGTAAAGGGAGGGAAGGAAAGTCTGAAAAATATGACCATAAAATCTTAATCTGATAAGCAAGGAATGAGGAATAGCTGTTAGGAATTTTAGGACCTCAAAATATATATAACTTGCACTATGTAATATGAGGTGCTGTACAGAGCAGAGATTTCCAGATTAAAGTACAACAGAGCACGATGACTCATTGCTCTTTACAGCCTATGAAACGATACCCTGTGGTAAGAGTAAGTCCACTCACCTTCCCAAGGGCTGTCAGAAGATAGAAATCAATGGACTCCCTGTATCTCAGGATTCGGAGGATGCCATCCAAGTACACCTGATCCTTATTGAAACAGCCTAAAGGGAACAGAGATGCATTGTACTCTGTCAGGGCTTGTTGAAGGCATTTTCTCAGAAGCCATTATGAGTACAACAGTTTGAGTTTCAAAAACTGGATATTTGTATCACAGACTTTGAAAACCTTCCCAAAAACTAACCAGAAGGCTAAACCTGCTAGCCAGAGAAAGTAATCAAACACAGAAGAGGGTGAGTGTGAATATTCACAGCAACATTACATCTTTTGTAACAAACATGAAAGGAGGTCAAACAGCAAGGATGAACTTTTTCATGGTTTTGCAATTTACATTCCCACTTCCAACATTAAAAAAAAAATCCATTACTTATTCAGTTTGAAAGTCTCACAGATGTGCATTTTCAGCCTTGCTTTCAATAGCAG